TATTCCTCCTTTTCAAGGTTTTGAAATTCTATTTCTATTTCACTTGCCATGACAGGGGTGCTTTTTAAGTAGAGATGAGTTAGAACAGGTGGATCACTAAAGACTGTAAGTGCCTAGGGCTCAAGGACAATGTTTGTTTATCGTAGTGTCCCCAGAACGTGGCCCGGTATCGGCCTGTTGTAGGTGCTGGATAAATGTTTGTCAGTTGAATGAATGACAGACATTAATGAATCAGCATCCAAAATTACTTCAAGGGTGATGTCTTTGGTAGGTTTTTTTTTTTGACTTTTAGCTCACAAGGTCATCAAGGTAAGTTTAGAAGATGTTCTTTAAACATTGAAGGTCTACCAGTAAGGAATTATGTGCCATGCTAGCAACAGACTCCAGAAATAATAATGGTGTAAGCAAGAGAGCTCAGTCTTCTCTCACTGCATAGTATCTGCCCAGAATTCATAGGCTGAAGCCTTTACCCCCAATGTGACTATATAGGAAGACAGGGCTTATAAGGAGATAGCAAAGGTTAACTGAGGTCAGAAAGATGGAGTTTTAATCCAGTCGAAGGTGTCTTTGTAGAGGAAGGAGAGACCCCAGAGATCACTCTGCCTTCTTGGGGGCCCAGAGGGAAGGCCGTCTGCAAGCAGGAAGGGATGTCTCACAGGAACCAACCCCGGCAGCATCTTCCCTGTGCTCCCCACACAGAATTCCAAATAAGTTATGTAGACACCCGTTAGGGGCTGGAACTTAACTTCCCATCCATCCCCTGAGTTGGCCTCTGCTTAGTGACTTGCTTCCAAAGAGTAGGGGACAGGGAGGGGGCAGTGAAAACGAGGGAAACTTTACAGTGAAGGCACCTGGCGAACTTGACCGTGGCCACGTCGTCAAGGTTAACCTCATCAGCAGTAAATTGTATTCGACAGTGCGTACCTTTGATATGATGTGATGAGGAGGGCATTCCAGCTCTGTGGTCTTCCTCCCTCGAACCCACAGTGCCACTCTAACCATGAGTAAAACATCAGAAAAGCCCAGCCTGGGGGGCATTGTACGAAACACCTGACCATTTCCTCAAACTGTCACAGTCAACCAAAGCAAGGAAAGTTGGAGAAACTACCAGACCAGGGGTGCCTAGGAGACGTGACAGTGGAAAGTACTGTGGTGTCCTGGAGGGCATCCTTGGGGAGGAAGGGGACATTAGGGGAAAACAGAATCTAAACAGAGCGTGGCGTTTAGTTAGTCATAATGTACCAGTGGTAGACGGTCCCTTTGTTGTGACAAATACACTGTAGTCAATTGTTCACAATAGGGGACTGAGGGGAGGGGTATATGGGAACTGTACTGCCTTTTCAACTTTTCTGTAAATCTCTTCCTAAATTAAAATCATTCAGACCCAAATAATAAGAACCATATGATCTCACTCATGCGGGATATGAAACTGAAAGCAATAAATGACGAAACAAGAAATATAAACAGAAGGACACGGACACAGTACAGTGGTTACCAGGGGGACTGGGGGTGGCAGGTGGGGGTAAAGTGTAAAGGGGTCATATATACGGTGACGGAAGGTTTAACTTCGAATGGTGGGCACCCAACGCGGTGTACAGATAGATGTATGATAGAATCGTGCCCCTGAAACCTGTATAATCCTGTTAACCATTGCCATCTCAGTCCATTTAATTTAAAACTTCATGAAAACTGCCCTGGCTGGTGTAGCTCAGTGGATTGAGTGCGGGCCTGCGAACCAAAAGATCGTGGTTCGATTCCCAGTCAGGGCACATGCCTGGGTTGCAGGCCAGTTCCCAGCAGGGGACGCACAAGGGGCAACCATACATTGATGTTTCTCTCCCTTTCTCCCCCCTTTCTCTCTAAAGATAAATAAATAAAATCTTAAAAAAAAAACTTTATGAAAATCACGCCCGGCTCTCCTGCTCACTGTGACTTGGGCAAGTCACTTCCCCTGTCTAAGCGCTGTTCCTCAACTCTGTGATGGGGTGACAGTCCCTTCACTGCAGGGCCGCGACAGCGTGTGACAGCGCTTTGGAAACAGTGTTCCCACGGTATTACTCAGCACTCAGAGTCCCCTCCTGCCCCAGCAGCTCTGCAGCGGGAGGCACCGCAGAGGTTCCCCAGGGGCCGCTGCGCCCGGAGGGCCCTGCCCCCACCGCTCTGCGAGTCTGCGGAGCACAGCTCTGCGCAGGAAGCCTCTCCCTCCCCTCTCTTGACAGCTTGCTCCAAGGGACCAGGGTTACATTTTTATTTTTATATGTCACTTGGTTTTTTTTTCCCCCTTGAATTTAGTTTTTCTCTTCAGGAATCAGCATATGACTCAACCTGCCAGGTCTAAATTTAGCATCGCCTGCGATACCAAGGATGCAGTTACTGCTGCCTGGGCTGTGTATTTGGAAATAATAGTTTTATTTATCCACATTCAGTAATTCTGACTGCCTGCTGGGCGCTTTCAGGAAAGAGTTTGTCATCTCCTTTCCTCCTGATGATGAAATGTTGCCTGCTCAGGTCCCGGAGGCCCAGCCCGAGCCAGACGCGGGTGGCTCGAGTCTCTGTTTAATTAAACAGTACCATCCCCAGGATTGTGCAGTCATGGGTTCTCTCCAAGGCTTCTGGTTGTTGCTGTTTTTTTTTAATTCTCACCCAAGGATATGTTTATTGATTTTAGAGAGAGAGGGAGGGAGAGAGACATCGATGTGAGAGAGATACATCGATTGGTTGCCTCTCACACACCCCCCAACTGGGGATCGAACCTGAAACTGGAAACCTAGGTATGTGCCCTGACCAGGAATCCAACCAACTGAGCTGCCTGGCCAGGACTCCAAGGCTTCTGTGTAGAGGGAGTTTGGAAACAAGGCTATGGACTGTGTGGACTGTGGAAGTTTTTCTCTGGGCTCAAGGATGATAAGATTTTTGCCCCCCTTTCTTTTGGAGAGTTGCCCCTTCAGTGCTGGATTGGATGGGAGAAGGAGGAAGTTCGCGTGTGTGGAGCCTGGGCCCTGCACTCTGGGTGCTGGGGATGTAGAAGCCAATCACAAAAGGCCGCTGCGCTCTGAAGCTACAACTCATTCATCTGCTCAAAGTAATATATGGAACATCTGTCAAGTATCTGACATCATGCTAATTGTTAGGGTTATAATAGTGACCCAATCAAAGCTCTGTTCCCCCGCAGCTGACTTTCTTTACGCGTGGTTTGCATGGCTCTAGCATAAAGCAGGGCAAAGGGGTGGTATGTAAGAAACTGGGGAGACACTGCACGCGCGTTTCCTAGGGCCACAGTAATCCGGCACCACAGCCTGAGTGGCTCCCAGCAGAAATTTGTCCTGTCACAGTTCTGGAGTCCAGATGTCTGAAATGAAGGTGTCAGCAGGGCCATGCCCCTCTGGGGACTCCAGGGGCCCGTCCTTCCTTGCCTCTTCTGTCTTTGGGGCTCCAGGTGTTCCTTGGCTTGAGGCTGCAAAACTTCAGCCTCTGCCTCCGTCATCGAGTTGCTTTCTCCTCTGTGTGTCTGTTTTTTCTCATCTGTCACTTACAAGGACACTCGTGATTGTGTTTAGGGCCCACCTGGATCATCCAAGATGATCTCCGACTTCTGGACATCTGCATAGGCTCTTGGGGAGCACGTGTCCCTGGCTCCTTCTGGCTCTGGTAGCGGCTGGTGTCCCTTGACTTGCGGCCACCTCACTCTAGTCACTGCCTCTGTGGTCACATTGCCCCTGTCTGTGCGTGTCCAGCGCCCCTCTGCCTTTCTCTGAAAAGGACACTTGTGATGGCACTTAAGGCCTGCACATAATCGGGGCCAATCTTCTCGTTTCAGAACCCTTAATGTGGTCATGTCTGTAAAGGCTCTGTTTCCGAATAAGGGCACAGTCCTGGGTTCTAGGGGCTAAGACTTGGATGCGTCTTTTGGAGGGCCACCGTTCAACCCAGAGCACAGTGCAAGACTGTCAGACCTTTGTATATTCACCCTATGACGTAGGTTTTATTGTCATTTTCCACAAAAGGACACTAAGGTCAGAGAAAGTAAGTGATTTACCCAAAGTCATTCAAAAAGAAAGTAGCAGAACGAGGGCCGGAAACCTGGAGTGGCCTGACTTTAAAGCTCGTTCTTTTCCTCCTGTGGCCTCCCCGTCAACCCGAATTTTTGAGGTGTCTCTCCTTCGGTTTAAAACACAAATGGCCGTGGGAAGACCATGCCTAGCTTTACCAGGTATTACGATCTAGTGGGAACTGGGCCGAGAGAACTGTGGACTGAGACGTGGACAGGAAGTTTGTGGGGAGGAGGGAAGTGTGGGGGCTTAGAGCCCAGGGGTCAGGCAGGGATACCTACTACGGAAGAGAAATAGCACTTAAAGGAGAAGCGGGCCATGCTTTGCCATCTTCGACTTTTCCAGCACCTTCTGTGGTGTGAGGGCTCTGGGCTTGCCTGCAGCTGGGGAAGGAGGTCTCCGCCACCAGATGGAGGACCGAGAACGCGGAGGGAAGGGCTCCCTGGGTTTCTGCTGTTTTGGGTTCTGCCGTCTCTGGGTTTCTGAGCACGGCCATGGATGAGGCACTGGAAACTCAGGGCCGGACACCTTGAGGTCCTTGTCCCGGGAGCAGAGTAGAAAAAGGACAACAGCCAAATCACCTTCTGCCTCTTGCACCGTGTGACCTCGGGCGAGGTACTTGACCTTTCCAAGCTCCGTTTTGGGCTAGTGGGCTGCAGGAAGGCCCATTTACCCTCTCTGTCCCCGGTGTGCCGAACGTTAATCGTTTCTTGTGTGTGCCTTCACGTGCCAGGCACTGCTGCTCTGGGAGGCCCTAAGCAAGAGAGCGACCCAGTGGAAACCGCTGGAAGTTTGGATGGCAGGAAGCTGAGCAGACAGAGGCTGCTGCAGGTGCATGTCCCAGCCCTCTGGACTGAGAGGGGGAATTTAAATGAAGAGTCAGAAACCTCACGTTGGCAGCCCGGATGCCTGTAGATGTATTTGGATCGCTGTGATTTGTTTCCTTTCCAGGGCCTCCTCACACTGATGTACTAACTTCCTCCTGCAAAGCCCACCCTGTCTCAGCTACATGGAGGGGAACTAAGGAAAGAGAGAGGCTTCATCCATCCTTGGCGTAAAGCTGCCCAGGGAAGAATGCTCCCTTCCCTAGGAGACGCTGGCAGTGAGAGACTGTGGGGCCGGGAAAGGGCAGCCTGAGCAGGCAGAGCGAGGGCAGCCTGCTCGGTCACCGCCCCCAAGAAGGCAGCCCCTATAGTGCTCATTATTGGGCTCCTCTTCCCGCTTCCCTGCAGGAGCCAAATGGAAACAGTCTGCAGCCTGGGTTTGCCTTCGGGAGGAGGACCACCCAGGGACTGACAGCACCCTCGTCTCTTCCTGACACGCAGGCTCAGATGTAGACGGGATGAGACCCTGAGGCATCTGTGCAGACCCAAACCCTGCATCCAAATGCTGATCCCAGGGAAGGAGGGGGATCCGAAAGAGTGCACTGAACAGAAGCAGGTCGTGATACTGAGGGAGCGGACCTACTCAGGCCCCAGGCGCTGTCGGCACTGGCTGTAGCCCCGTGAGAAGGAGAGCTCAGAGGGATCGGCAACACCCCGCCCCGGCCGGGAGTTCTAGTTCCAGCGTGGTCAGAGACCGTCTGCTTCCTGCTGCTACAGCACGGGCTCTGAGGGCTCCCTTCCCACGTGACTTGATTGTCCAGGCCTCAGCTTCCTCTTCCGTGAGCAACACCAGGATAGCAAAACCTACCTCTCGGGTCTTTAGGAGGATCGTATGAGGCTAAGTTAGAGGGAAACACCTAGCCCCTATATATTAGTCAGGGTCTCCAGAGAAACAGAACCAATGGGATCTGTCTGTCTGTCTGTCTGTCTAGATTTATCTTAAAGAATTCTCACGTGGTTATAGGGACTGAGAAGTCCAAAATCCTTGGAGTAAGCCAGCAGACTGGGGAGACAGGTAAGAGCTGAGTGGACATTGCATTCCAGAGCAGGGTTCTGTGTTGTAGCCTTGAGGCAGAATTCTTCTTTCTTCAGGAAACCTCAGTCTCTGCCCTGGAGGCCTTCAACTGATCGGATGAGGCCCACCAGAACATGAGTACAAATGTTAATCACATCTAAAAACAAAAAATACCTTTATGGCAACATCTAGACTAGTGTTTGACCCAGCCACTGGTCACCATAAGCTAGCCAAGGTGACACAAAATTAACCACCATGCCGTGAAAGGGTTGTGGTTCTTAACAAAGACATTGCCTTCCCTCTCTCCTGCCCTCTCTCCATTTCCAAGTCATTGCTGAGGTCAAAAGAGGCTTCACTCAGTGGCATCTCTGGCATGTGGGCGCAGAAGCTGCTAGGCTCTGGCAGTGGGGCCTCTGTGCTCCTCCTGTCTCTCCGAGATCTATTTCTGCTGACTTCACCCCCCAGGGAATCAGTGTCCCTACTTCCTAAGGCAAGCCCTGGAGTGCCCATGGTGGCTTCCCACAGAGGCCTGCACTCTGGGCCGTGCCCGGAGTCCTCTGTGTCCTCTCTGAGTTCCTTTCCGGTCTGCTTCTCGAACATTCGCAGCGCCGAGTTTCTGACTTTCGGTTCTGAGGACAGGCGTGAAGACCTGAGCTCTGCCTCAGCCAGACCGTGTGGTGAGCCACCAGGATGGCCTTCCTGCTGCGGCGTGCAAGCTAGAAGGAAAGTCCTCGGGCGAGTAAGAGTTAACTCCCTGCCTAGAATGTTGCAGGTGGCATTCTGCCTGGAAGTGGAGAGCTGGACTCCATTCCATTTTAGAGATTGATACTCCACAGGTGATCCAAAATGCTTCTCATTTTAATGGAATGTGGAGTTGCTTTTGCCAGAGTTGCAGAATGCCTAGATGGGATCTCTAAGGTAGCATAAGGTCAGGGAAAGCGCTCTGGACCAGGAATCAGGAGACCTGGGCCCTCAGTCACTGCCTCCCCCGTGTGATCACATGCACGGTACTTGTGAGTTTAGGCTCTGGCTACGTCTCTCATAAGATCCCGGAAACAACAGTCACCTTCCCTTTGCACAGACACCACCTTCCAGCTTGCAGAGCATCTTCATGATTCATCATCTGTGTTCCTTACACCAGCCTCACAAGGTGGGCAGGACACAAGAGTGGGAATGGATTGTCCCCATTTTGCAGACAAGGTTCAAAGAGATTAAGTATCTAAGTTCCTGCAGATGGGAGGTGACCAAGCTAGACTTGAACGCAGGGTCCTTGGTGCAGCCTCTTTGGGGCACCCTTTCAAATGTGGTGACACCTATAAAACTATGAGATCACACACTGGAGTTGGCAGATGGCTCTTGGGGGACCCAGCAGGAAGGACCGCTGCAGAGGAAAGCGGGGAACACCGCCTTCCTGCTCCCCAAGCACCCGAGGCTTTGGAGGGAAATGATGGTCTGAGTGGACCCGCGTAAACCAAAGGAGGGTTGGTCTCTAGCTGCTCAAATGAAAATGTTTTCTCACACTGCTGATTCAATTCAGAAAACATTTATTGAGGCTTTATCACAGACCAGGTTCTCTACTGGGGAGCAGAATAAGTAAGCAAAAGCAGAATGCAAAGCAGGCTGTCTATCTACTTCTGTAAGCAGAAGTATAATGAAAAGTTTTATATTCGAAATGTAAACAGAGGGCTTTGGATTTACAGGGGGAGGTGTGTGCGATTAAGTCATCCCAGGGAGAGGAAGGCAAACACAGCTGAGCCCTGAAGGATGAAGCAGGATTTGACCCCTGGAGACAGGAGGGAAAGGGCCCCTGCCTGCTCTCCTCGGCCGCCCTGCCGCAGCCTGTTTGCTGTGGGGCCTGGCCAGCCCCCACCCCCGTGGAGCCTCTGCCCTCGTGGGTCACATTTGATGCAGTGCCCTGAAGTATCTACTGCAAAGCAAGAGAGATTCTGCCTGGCAGCTCTCGGGAGAGTAGACAGTAGGAGGGGCCGACAGGCCCTTGGCAGGGGAATGGCAGGACGGAAGGAGGTACAGTTCTGGTGGCTGTGTCTCCCCTCCTAAGGGGCTAAGAGGCAGGAGCTGTTGCTCTGCATATGTGGTTTCAGGCAGAGAGTGTTTTGTGTCTTACTTAAAAACTGGATTCTCAGTCTCCTGTGCAGCTTTCTGTCAGCTTGTTGCCATGGAGAAGTCGGTTGGGGCTGGAAGCTCTGTCCCTCTCTGTGTCAGCATTTCTGGACCTGCCAGCTGCCTCCTGCCCCTTCTCCAGATGGAGGGCTCACAGGGACCCACATGGTGGGCAGACCCTTTCTCTGCCAGCATTGGAGCCGCATCTCAGTTCTCTTGGGGACAGGAATGTCCTTTGTCCAAGCACTGACTCAGCGACTCGACACTGAGTGCATCGATGTGCTAGGCAGCGTCCTGTGCTCTGTGAGAACAAAGATAACTGTGGCCGGGGACACCCCCATCACCAGGCAGGACCCTGCTGGCTCGTGAAAGTCGCTCTCACTGGAGAAAAGGCGGCCGGCAGTGAGACCTGGCTGCGCCCCGAGACCCAGCACTGAGCCCCGAGACCCAGCACTGAGCCCTGGCTGCGCTCCCGTGTGCTGCATGGCCCGATCAGGCCTCTTTCCTGACACAGACCTCAGTTTCCCCATGTGAAAAATTCGGGAATTAGGTCGGGTGATCGTGAAGAGTACTTTTGCCCTAAAAATCTGAAGATTTTACTTGAAAAAAAAATCTCTCCTCAGCTGCTGCCACCACCATCACCCATGTCCCTCGGCTGGAGGCTGACCTCAGCATGACCCCTGCTGCCAATCTTGCCAAGCTGCTCTTCCAGGAAGCTGTGGGGTAGAACACTGGCATTGGACGTGGAAGTCTCTTTTGGATGCGAAGTCTCTTTGACGGCATCATCTCAGTTCCCCAGTCCAGCGGCTGGCTTGGCCCACACCCAGGAGAGTGGAGAATTGCTGGAAGCAGCGGTTTTTCTTACCCTTCTTCACCTGCGTCTTGCTTTTCCTCAGGACCTGTTGTCTCCCTGAGCCTCAGGCTGCTGACCGAGGGTTCTAGTCCCAGAGCCGCCTGCATCCGGGGCTCTGTGCTAGGCACAGAGTGTAGAGATAGGAAGGCACTGTCCCCGTGGACAGTCTCAAGTCTGTGACATGGTCATGTGAAACAGAGACGAGCTCTAAGTTCACGGGAGGTCGTTCAGGGAACCCACGGACTTGGACCATCCTCACTGCCCTTCTCCTGTCCTGGGCACATTTGTTCCCTCCCCGGGCCCCATTCGTTCCTTTTATGTCGAGTCAAGATGCTTCCGGTGACCTGGAAGCATCCTGTTTGCCATGAAACTTCAATTCTGAGTGCTGTCGTTCAGTGAAGGAGTGATTGCTGTAGAGTTTTTAAAGGAATGAGGACTGGAGCTGAGCCTTGAAGGCTCGAGTAGGATTTGGATGAGCCCAAGAGAAATGGGTAGGGGTCTTTCTGGGGGAGGGGGCAGTGCATGAGCATAGGCAGAGTCCCTAGAGCACAGGTGAGGGCAGAGCAGGGTGGGAAGCCCTCCTGACTGGAACAGAGGGTCCATGTGGCTCTGAGGAATGAGAGCAGTCTCGGAGGAGGCAGCTCTTGCCTTCCATCTGGAGGCCCTCATCCCCAGGGGTGGAGCACCAGTGGTACCTGCAAGACAGGCAGGCAGATGAGGCAGGTCAAACCAGGGCCCTCTTCCTCTCTGGGGGCCCCAGTGTGATGCAGACCATGAGAGAAAGACCTCCACCAAGAAGGCACAAGCGTCAACACTGGGAGAGGCCTCTCGTGGTCTGTTCCTGCCCAAGTGTTTTCCTGAACTCAGGGCAGCAAGAGCAGTATTTTGACTGTGTTCTTGGGATTGGATTCTAGATTCATCTACCAGGCCTATGAATCAGAGAATCACCCCTCCCAGACCTGCCTGCAACCTCCTGCCAGTCTCTTGGCCTAGGTCGTCTGACTTCTCACAGTCTCTGTACCCACTGCTTACCCGATGCCACGTCATCTTGGTCCTGCCTCCTTGCTTTCTCTCCAGACATCTCTCGTGCATCCCACCGCCTCTGAGGTAGTGCAGGCTTCCCTCATCCTCTGTCTCCTGGACTCTGCCCCAGCCTCCAAACATCATCCTGTGGTCCCTCCTCCGTATTCAGTCTAAAGTTCAGAAAGTGCCGGGTATAGGCCAGGAGCCCTGCGAATGTTGTTAGAGTGATGGCAACACAGTGATGATGATTGTTATTGTCCGGATTTACTTCCGAAGTACAGCGCCGATTCTGTTAGTCCCTTACTCAAAAGCCTTAGTGGCTTCCAGTGGCTGCTGAGTAAAGCCCAAACTCTCAGCCAGGCATTTGGAGGACTGTATTCCTGAGCCCTCCGCAATGATACGCTCTCTGCCTATCATCTCAGATTTATCTCCTTCTACAACTTTTTGGACTTCCCCTTCTTCTCCCAGATTGTACGACCACCACTAGCTCTACAAGTTCCATCTACTCTTAGCACGGCCCTTGTTTGCATTGTTCTTCCTACTTAAAATGCCCTTCCTCCCTCTTTCATGACTTTATTTTCCACTGGGAAGTCTCTACTGATCACCTGGATTATATATCACTTGATGTCAGTTGCAATGAATGGCCCACTCTGTATCCCTGATTTCAGCTACCAAGTGAAACTCAATAAATGTTTTATGAGTGGCTGGAAGGACCAAGTTCAGCCCATTTTCAAGCAAGCTGGAGTTAGAATTAGGGAAGCTTAGTCATCAAGGCCTTCCAGCCAGGCCTCGGTGTCTGTGAATTTCCTTGCCGGGATCTGGAGGTTCCCTAGTGTCTGCGGGCATGCATTAAGTTAGCCAGCTGCACATGGTCACGTGTGCTGTGTACAAGCAAACTGGCAGGAGAGTGGGGAACCCTCTAGCTATTGAGGTAATTCCTGCTGGGCCCAGGTGGGGATCAGCCATCAAGGTACAGGGGCCTGTGTGACCCTGGGAACGTCAGCATCCTGGAGGCCCCATCTGGGTTCGTCCAGCAGGAGTGTGCAGGGTCTGACAGCAGGAATCTTTAGGTCATTACTACGGGGCATTCAGGCTTAAGGCTCCAGCCAGAGGGCAACTTGGCGGACAGACAAAGATTCAGGCCCTTAGGGGTTGGGATGTAAGAGAATAGGCAGAGTGTCAGGGTCTTGTCCAGACAGCAAGGGAGTGTCTTGGGCTTCCAGCCTCAAAATGTCCCAGTTTAGGGCTCGCGAGTCCTGTGGCTGGGCATTCCCAGTGGGTATCATCAGGGAGGCTGACCAAGGGATCTGGGCTCCCTTTCTGGTTGGTATCAGCTTAGAAATAGGCATGGCCTCGATGAGGACAGACATTCTGGTCTTCCAGTCCTTGAGGTGGGCAGGACCGGGGGAGGCCATGGCTGACACAGAGCCAGGTGCAGAGGCGCGTCCGGTGCCCCTCCTGGTTCCTTCTGCCTCACCGTGTGCTCACCTCCACTTTGAACTCAGGCCGTGTTCACGCCACCCTCTGGGCCACCGTTTGGGAAAGCCAACCGCAGGCTGACACTCACTGCCTGTGAATGGCGTGGAATTAAGCTAATCAGTGGCTCTTAATTCCCCAACAAATGCGGGTGCTGTGCTAATTGCCAGGGTCCACGGCGGCAGATCCCTGGTTGGTGGCATCAAACAAGAGAAGTGATCATTTGGGGGCTGGGTTGGGGGAGGGCCTGCTTTGTCGGCTGAGCCAGTTAAAAACCATACTACCCCCCCAAGGGAGCCGCAGTGCAGAGAGCCAGGGCCTGGCCTCCTTATCAGCCAAGGGGCTGAATGAGCGGCCACACATGTGTTTGCAGGAGCTAAACCGTAGCACCATGGAGCAGTTTCTTGTTCATGAATGGATTTTTTTTTTTGGGGGGGGGGCGGGTCTTCAGGGAAGATTCCACTAGTAACCTGGCATGGCACTGCCAGGGCAGCTCATCAGGGATAAAGCATCTGAACTCTGGTCTGCTGTTACCATGGCAACATGGCAATTCCAGACTCTCCAGGCAACCTTACTGGCATCTGCTGCTGTGAAAGATTCAGATGGAGAAGGGCCACTGTTCCTTCTCCTTTAGAGACAGAGCAAATTGTAAAGACAGGGAGCCATGCACCGAGGACCAGGATCTCACAGGAAAATGCTGTCCCGTTGACATAAAAGCTTCTTGATGAAATGACATTTAAGTGACTGTTAAAGCTGTCGTGCGTGAGGTAGTCTGTTGGAGAGAACTGCAGGATCCGAGTGGACTCCCTGAAGGAGAAAAGTCAGAGGAGATGAGGAAGCGTAGGGGGAACAGCACGCTCAGAGGCCCATCTGGGGAAAGAGCTGAGTGTGTAGACAGGGTGGGGGGTCAGCTTCGTCTGGTCGGGGTGGGCAGGTGTCCACTATGTTTCTCTGAAACCTGCTGGTTCAAGCCATGTGTGGCAAAGGCCTGCCCTTGGCCTTACACCCCCCAGATGCTGCCCTACACCCTCCCCTCCTGAAGTATGGGCACCCATCTCCACACCTCCCACCCAGCCCTCACTCCAGGGTGGCATTTCCTGCTTTCTGTTTCAGCTCACAGTTACTTGCAACATCTCTGTACCCACTGGAATTATTGAACTTCTACATTTCATAGGGGAATGGAGACCCAGCGGGGAAGATGCTTGCCTGAGACCACCAGCAAGGCAGAGGCAGTAGTACCTAGGGGTGAAGAACTTATGATCTGGAGACAGACTGACCTTGGTTTGAGTCCTGGCTCCACCACTGAGTTGTCAGGTGAGCCTGAGCCTCAGCTTCCTCAGGCGTAAAGTAGGGATCATGAGCATTCCACCCTGCTGTGTGTTAGGGGTGTGAAATGAGACACGAAAGTAGTGCAAGGCAGTTCCTGGTATGTAGTAAGAGCTCAGGGAACGTTAGCTATCAGACATTGGTAGTTCCTTGAAAACAGCGACTGTCTTGCTCATCCTTGCTCTCTGCCTCCTCTGGTACACGAGGCACCCAAGTAGTACTTTATCCGGAATGCGTATTCGAGTCAGACGGATGTTTGCTAATAGGGTGAATGCATGATGTTTGGAATGGCAAACTGTCCGCACTGACGGGCTCTCCACACCTGCCGAGTGTTTGTAGCTTTGGTGCCATTTGGTCTTCATAGGAGTGGAGCCAGGCCAGGCCCAGAGTCTGTCCTTGAAGCTCAGCCTGCACAGTAAAGTGACCTACCCGTTCGGGCTCCAGACCCAGCTGCCTGTGGCCCAGGGCTGTGGGTTCCTTCAGAGGGAGAGGGAGTAGACTCCCCTGCCCATTGGGAACCATGTGTGGTATTAATGCTGACTGATGCGGAGCTTTCTAGTACACCGAACGTTCCCACTCACTCTCACACAAGCCTCACCATAGCACTGGGGTTGTTGGGAGTCACAGCCCCACATTGTGGATGAAGACGCCGAGACTCAGTATCAGGCGGCTGGCCCAGAAGCCCTCGGCGCCAAGAGCTGGAGCAGGGGCGCGGGATCACCTTCTGACTCTGACTCTGGTTGGGGCTGTAGTTCTCCTAAGATATGGTCCCAGTAAGAGGCACAGGGCTTGGAGTCAAATGCCATGTCGGTCACAAGTCCATCACTTACCAAGGTACAGCTCTTCAGTAAACTCACTCTTCTAGACGTGCTTGCTCCCCAACCTTCCTGCCCCAGGTTTGTGGTGAGGCTTTGGGAAGTGTGAATCTCCAGTG